AAAACTTCAGAGACGTCAGAAGGTTTGAAGACCTTGCAGAATTGAGTTGTTAACAGAAATTTTCAGAACTCAAGGAATCATGTATTTCTAGTGAGAACTTTTCCCACTAGCTTGTTTAAAGTTGGTATCGACATCCTGGCGAAGTTTTGAAATCCATTTTCATCTTCATATCGCAGCTCTTGATGGAAAAGAAAGATAAGCCAGATCCCTGCCGGTGTTCCTCCTGAGCAACCATTTCCTACTCCACAAAGTTCACCTTCGTTTTCTCATTTTATTTAAAATAATAAAAGCAAATACGTCTGCCGAAACTAAATAGAGCAATTTTCCGGTAATTCATGATGGAAGTATTTACTTTTGATTCCTGATACAGTTTTGTTTTGAAATCTAAATTGACAGTTCTTTCGACATGTGCAAGCAGTGTGAACACCAGCAAACAGGGGGGTTCGACAAAGTGTGTCGAAAGTAAATTCGAGCAGGTTTTTCATTATGGCGGTGGTCAAAATCAGACCAAGAAATCAGATAGTCTCAACGGACCTTAAGAGATTTTAGACATGTCAAACCATGATTTATTCTGTCTTGGTCTTCCAAATAGAGTTGAACTCAAACATATTATGAAAATAATATTTTGTTTTTGAAAACATATTGTTATCAAATTTTGATCTATCGTTTTATCGAAATAGTATAGACAGGTTTCTTACTTGTATTTATATTCTTGAATTAACACAAATACCAAAAAAGAATGTAATATTGATTGACGTAATGCATGTTACTGTATGAATAACTAATGTGATTGCAAAAACCAAATACAGTATTACACCCATGGATATAATTTCTTTTCGCAAATTATGTGTAGGATAAATGCACCAATAGTGGAGGTACTTTAGTGTAATATGTTACTATGGTGGCTTATAGAGTCTCCCTAAGCCGCTATAGAAGTACATTGTACTAACGTACCTCCACTATTGGTTGTACAAATTAATATTAAACAACCTATGTGCATCTGTTCTGCTGTAATATTCAATAACTTTTTTGCTGTGCCGACTTATAAGTACCAACGCCCAAGTTTGAACAATCGAAAATAACATAAATCAATGAGTACATAAAAGGGATTCCAGATGGATAAATAGATAAAATAATAATGTGTATAATTTGTATGCACCTGGAATTTTTTTCATTCGACCTGGAAAAACCTGGAAAACTCAGGGAATTTGATTCCTTGGATTGAGTAGACACGAGTGTGGGCTTTTTTACTTGATTTGTTTTTCGTCGATCTTGTTTTCCGTGCTGAGCAACAATGCTACCGACGCCAGGAAGGCAGCTCTCACACCTGGACCCTACCTATCGACCCATCAACTCATGAACCGGGACCAACGGCTTTACTTCCCTTCCGAAGGAAGACGTGACCAAAGATTTTTATGTCTCAGAAAAATCCCTCCGACCTCGGTTGGGATTGAACCCAGACCCATTGGGGTGAGAAAGCAGCCACGCTTACCACTACACCACCGGCACCGGCTGATTTTATTTTTAAATTTGCTTTTATTATTCCGATTAGGTATATTTTAAAATTTCTTTATTATTCCGATGATATGGACCACCGAGAAGTAGAGACGAATTATCTTCGTTACCAAGCCTATAACAATTTTAATTTTATTAAAAATTGTGATCGCATGAAGCGAAAATATAAAATCTTCAAAATCCGTTTAATTGAACCCCATCCCAAAATCGAACGGCTTTGTGGTTTTGTTGTCAAAATCTAACCATGACAAACTTGAACGGGTACTGTATTCACAAATAATTTTTCTCTTTAGAAAAATGCAATGAAAATGCACAAATCATTTCTTGCTTTGAGTTGACTCGTTCTTTATACTTTGTGTTGTTCATTAACGGATAAATACTTTTAAAAACTCTATCATAAAATACTCCTAAATTATGTTGCTCTTGGAGTCATTGGCGTAGCTAGAAAATTTATCTGGATGGGGGCCTAGAGGGGCCTGTTGAATTTCTTTATTTTACTAAACTACGGTTAAATAAAAACTCGCGAAGATGGTATTCAATCAAATGGCGTCAAGGCAACATATTTTTTGGCATTTTTTTCCTTTGACCAATAATATGACATTGAGTGAGGCTAACTATTATTTGAATGGTTAAACAAATATGATTATGTTTATTTCATAACAATGATTGGGACCTCGATTTTGGGAGCTTACTGATTTTGAACAAGCAATGATTGTTTGTTCATGATTTTTGTGATGAAATCACAAAGCGTCCGGATCTCATAAATTTAATCATCTCAAACTTAAGAAAATTCTCAGGTTTAGGTAATTCCATGAATTTTGTAACTAGTTCTTTTTTTAGACTTTGAATATTTCATCACAGATGGCAAGCATTAATTCGTCAAATCAAATCAATTTTCATAGTTCTATAACTTATGTAATTGTCACTTATGCAACGTTTCCTGAAAATCTATAAAACTCCCTTAGGATTTACAGATTTTTCCCAACCTCTACGAAGTTCTCTTAATTTATTCCATTTTCCATATTTATTCCATCTTTCGTAGTCCTACGAAGATCTCTGAACATGTTTGCACTTCAGGAAAGACACCTATCATCTACAAATATTCTTGAACACCTGGAAAGTTCCTTGAAATTTAACGAAGTTCTCAAAACCTCCAAGAAGTTCATGGAGCTTTTTTGAAGTAAGATCTATGACAAACTGCAGAGAAGCTCCCTAAACTGAAGCAAGGATTCCTGAAGTTCTTAGAAGTTTATTGAACTATTTTTAGATCTTCTACAAATTTCCCTGAACTTTTTCAAAATTCCTTTCACTTGAATGAAGTTTTATGCAGCTCCACAAAATACAATGAAATTCGCAAAACATCTACAAAGTTTTCTGTACTTCTACGTTTCTTGTTGATTTTCCACAAAGTTTCACGAACGAAATTTCTATTATTTGTGCGTAATTTCCACAACTAATCCAAGTCCATGAGGCTTCAAAAAGGTGCCGTGAAATTATATAGAGGTTCCCGATCAATAGTGAGCTTCCCTGAAATAACATAATGTTCTCTTAACTTCTATGAAGCTCAAACTTAAATAAATTTTTCACTTCTACACAGTTTTCATAACTTTTCCAAGCTCCTTCCCAAGCAATAATTCAAGTTTTATCAAGGTTTTACAGCATTCTTCAAGTCTAAGTTATAGTCAACAGAACCCTCATAAAACCCAAATTTCTAATTGGGTTTTTTCTTAAGGTCTATGAAGTTCCCAGCATTTATACTAAGTTTCTTCACTTTCTACGATGTTTAATAAACTTTTTAGAAGTCCTTGAAGTTTCACGAAAATCCAAGAAATTGAAGAAAATACCCTGAGTTCATGGCTAATTTGTAGAACCTGAAGACATCTTATTATGCTAGCGATTAAATACCGATATAGGGGAAATGTCTCTTATGTCGGCCAAAGTGCCCCTAATTTGGGCCCATATAAAAATTTACTAGTAGGACAAATTTTCATTGGCGACCAAAAATATCCATTAGTACCGTCAGGATGACGCGTTCATCTAGATAAAATTGATATATAGCAGATTTTTAGCGATGGGCCCAATCTTAGATCCATAGGCCAACTTTAGAGCCATTTCCCCTAATATAATTTCTCAAAACTCTGTTTCTTCTAGTCCAGAACATAAGAAAAGTAAAAATCGTTGTTTGTGGTCCAATTTTATTAATCGCTGTTAAATAGTAACATTGAACTTGACAAGCTTGACAAAATACCAGCGAGTCAAAAATAAACTTCAAAAAGTCAGGGAGGCCTAGATAATTCTGGAGGGGACCTGGCCCCCTTGGCACCCCCATTAGCAACGTCAATACTTGGAGTTGACTACTTCTTTGTATCTTGAGCTGTTCTTTGGCAGGTAAAAACTTTTGAAAATTGCATCTGAAAATACTCAAAAGTAAAATCTTTCTTGGATTTCACTCCATCTTTACAGCGTATGCTGCCATTTGAAATTTTTATTTTATGGACAATTCAATTGATATATTCACAAATTACTTTTCTCTTTAAGTTGACTGCTTCTTTATATGATGAGCAGTTTTTTTTTAAAATAAAATAGTTTTAGAATTTATTTTAAATAATCACAAATTATTTTTCTCTTGGAGTTAATTTCTTCTTTACATCATAAGCTGGTCATTGAAAGATAAAATAGTTTGAAAACTGTAGTTGAAAAATATTAGTTTATTTTATTATAAGAATTATGGCAAATGTCCATTATGACGTTTGTTTATTTGTTGCTTATAATCGCTGCTGCTGCCTCAGGGAATGCTTTAGCGCAATTTGTAAAGAATCTGAACGCGGAACAATTTGCGGAAGAATTCCCTGAGGCAGCAGCAGTGATTATAAAGAAGCACTATGTGGACGATTACTACGACAGTGTGGACACCGTCGAGGAAGCAATCCAAAGAGCCAAGGAGGTGAAACACATTCACGCGACATTCACTCGAATGGAGGATTCCACATAAGTAACTGGATGTCGAACTCGGAGAAGTTTCTAGAGGAGCTTGGGGAGCGCACCGCAAACGCAGCAATTCACATGACCCGGGATAAAGACACGGAATACGAGCGTGTACTGGGGATCGTGTGGAATATGATCGAAGACGTCTTCTGTTTCGCAAAAGCTTCGAAATTAGAGCAGCTGAAAGTCCTCCGAGGAGAAGAACGTCCGACGAAGCGAATAGTACTCAGCATCGTGATGACGCAGTTTGATCCGGTGGGTTTCCTCGCACCAGACACCATCCTGGGAAAAATGTTAGTACAAGACGTGTGGCGGACTGGTTGCCAGTGGGATGACATCGTGAACGACGCATCGTTCAAGAAGTGGAAACGGTGCACGAACACACTCAAGCCTTCAAACTACCACGCAGCTACTGCATATCTTTGCGGATGCGAGCGAGACGGCCTACGGATGCGTGGCGTTTTTCCGGGGCCGTTGTACGAGGAGATGTGAGGTGCGCAATGGTGATGAGTCGAGCGAAGGTAACACCATTGAAACAGCTGTCGATTCCGCGTTTGGAACTTATGGCAGCGGTACTCGGTGTACGACTATCACAGACAGTACGGGAAAATCATACCTTCTCCATTAGTCGAGTGGTCTTCTGGGTAGATGCGGAGGTGGTGCTATCGTGGATTCGATCCGATCAGCGCCGCTACAAGCAGTTTGTCGGTTTCCATATCGGAGAGATCCTGAGTTCGACAAGGATTGCAGACTGGTGGTGGGTACCGACGAAATTGAACGTTGCAGACCAGCTAACGAAGTGGGGCAAGGATCCGAAAATACATCCGAACAGCTCGTGGATAAAAGGGCCGCAGTTTCTGTACATCAGTGAGGAAGGGTGGCCGAAGAAGAATCTACCGCCGGCGAACATGACGGAGGAACTCCGGGTTCATCTCCTGCTGCACGATGTGAAGGTGCCAGCGAATTTGGTAGATGCAGACCGCTTCTCGAAGTGGACGGTGTAGGTTCGGTTCGGACGATGGCGTGTGTATTTCGTTTAGTGTCGAACTGCAGGCGAAAGTTTAAGGGCTGCCTATAGAGACATTACGAGCGACGAGCGAGCAGAGCGAGAGTGAGAAACAAAGAGCGTTCGGTGAATCAGTGGCTGCCAATCGAGAAATCAAGTCCTCTGTATAAGCTGACTCTCATGGTCGATGAAGATGGACTGATTCGAATGGAGGGTCGAGTGGAACGAGCAAAATTTTTACCGTTCGATCTGCGATTTCCAGTGATTCTGCCGAATGACCATCGGATTACGAGATTGATAGTCCAGCACTACAACGAGAAGAGTGGCCATGGGTACCGCCAGGCGGTGAAGAACGAACTGAGGCAGCTGTACTATATTCCACACATAGATGCAGTTGTCCGGAAGGTGTCAGCGTCCTGCGTGTGGTGAAAGGTGAATCGGTGTCGTCCTGAAGTTTCAAGGATGGCCCCACTGCCAGTACAGCTGGTCACACCGAATCTTCGAGCCTTTAGCTACGTCGGTGTCGATTACCTGGGACCATTTGATGTGACCATAGGACGCATAACGGAGAAGAGGTGGATTGCGATGTTTACGTGCATGGTAACACGTGCTGTGCATATGGAGGTGGCACACGGGCTGACCACTCAGTCGTGTTTGATGGCGATATACCGGTTTCGGAGATGGAGCAAAACCAGATAGACTGACCCTACCGTAAACCTACCACACAATACCCTACATATAGGCGAGAGAGTGGGTAACAAGAGAGCGCATGCGCAACTAGCCTCTGTCCAACGCTCGCCTATAACCGATCGTGGACCGAACAGAAGATCCAAGCCAGTGTACATATTGTAAATAACCCCAAACAATAGTTGATAATAACAAGTTCTACGAAACGGACGTGCGGTTGGTATCTCTGTGAATCATATCACCGTCTCCTTGGTGTACTATCTCTCAAGTGAGAATAGTACTAGTTCCCCGCGACAATAGGGACTTGGTCGTGAAAGTTGCCGTGCGGTGGCATTAAAAGGCATTTTTCGGTGGCTGCCTAACAGCAGTGAAGAAAGCCCTTCGGTGGCCGGCAATAGTTCGTTACGCGAACAACCGGTTTATGGGTCCCCGGGGTTGGCCGATCGAATTCTTTTCGGACAACGGGACGAACTTGCAACGAGCCAGTAAGGAAGTGGGGGAGGCTGTGCACGGCATTACAGACGACTGTGCAGACCAGTTAACAAACGCGAGAACGAAGTGGATGTTTAATCCTCCCGCTGCACCCCACATGGGAGGTGTTTGGGAGCGCCTGGTCCGCTCTGTGAAGGAATCACTGACAGCACTCGACGATGGAAGGCGACTAACGGACGAGATCCTGCCATTTTTGATTCTGTTCGGATCGAATAAAACAAACCGTTCTTGAATCAACCTTTTCTTGCAGGTAGATCGAACTGCAATTTTATGAGAAATTCATTAAAATTAGTACAGTATTTTCATGAGTTTTAGTGTTGGTATTACTCACAATTTTAGTTTGTTTTCTTCCTTTAAGCTTTCCTTGTCTTTCCAATCTCGCTACCAATATTGCTTATTGCATCTGAAACTGGACTGTTCCAAAAATGCAAAAAGTGTGATAAAAGTGCACGTTTCCGTCAAATCGTTTTGATGTCTTTGGAGCACTTATTGCTTGCATCATAAAGAATAAGGGCACCTAAGACACCAAGACGATTAGACGTAAACTTGCAGTTTTATCACACTTTTTAATAAGTGAAAACGCGCTTATTAGTCCAATTTGGTGTGAAACGCGCAATACTATGCCTGACACAATTAAGCGCATTCATATTATTTATTTTCAACGTTTTCTGCATGTTTTACCTGTCTGCCAATCTATCTTGTCGACCCGTCTATCATCGACTAACCTCCTCTTTGTGTCGTAAAAATTTAATTATTTCGTTCTAAATGTGTTTCAATTTTTGTATGTTGAACTAACCTGGTGTATTGCCCCGTAACGTGGGTAGATCACCTTTTCGTGGTACGTTACGGGATGTAAGATCTACCACCGATTCCTAGTCCTTACTTCTTCAAACTAGGGGAACAGGATTTTTCAGTAATCAAAGGAACACATCTTAGTCCTTGTTACTTTTTATGCCTTGTTGATAGTGATAAGTCCTCGGGTTGCCTGGACCGAGGATGATCTTAAAACAAGGAAAAAATGAGTTAGTTAGTCTTCACCTATGTGATTCCTAATCTTCTAATCGTTGTTCCCTAGTTTGAAGTGGTTAAGACTAGGGTTCTGATGCATGTTCATTATCGGTGTCATAGCTTGTTTTTGTTGTTAAGGAATCCAATTTTGACTGACAAAGGGGCGCGCCTTTGGAGGGTGTTCCAACTCCGAAGGGTATAAATAGCGGAGCCTTTGAGTTAGAATCGATTCCTTGCGATGAAGGCAAGAATGACAACTGTATCAAAACCGAATACTTCATCATTTCTCAATAATGATGGAGTAATACGACATGTACTAAACTAAGGACACGGGATATACTACAATAGATCAAATTACTGGTCGCAGTGGTGTTATGTCCCGAACAGAGGAAAAAAAAACCTGGTGTATTGAACTGCGGTCGTATGATTATTTTACCTTATCAGATAAACGCATCGAAATTTCTCTTTTTTCCAACAAACACGCTCTAAATCTCAATCTACAATGAACTAAACTTCAACCTTTCTTTTCTATTTGTTTACTTCTCCTCTGCACGACTTCTGTCAGATCAACTGCTAACTATTTTTTCTATCTCTTTCTCACCTGTCACTTCTAAAGTAAAAATATGGACGACTGTCACCACAAAACTGAAAAAAAAGCTGTTCCAATCGAGCAAAGCGGTGCATTTTGACGGTTCGATTGGAACAACTTTTGACAGACGTCCAAACTTTTACTGTACACGCTAAGATCAGTTTACCGAGACGGTACAAAGAGATTACCGAGATTGGCCGTATATTGCACAAACTCACTTATGGGTAATTTTTTTTAACCCAAATATGGGTTCTTATGATCCATAAATGATTTATTTTTAAGCAAAAATGACTTAAATTTACCCATATTTGGGTTGTAAAATTTACCCATATCTGAGTTTGTGCAGTTTACGCCTGATTTGGGTAAAGTAAACCTACATTTGGGTTATCTGATCTTAGCGTGTAGGGCTTTAGTCACTTCTACTTCACCTGTCGCCTTGTCACGCCTCATCGGCCAAACCGTTTCTCGCCTCATCGGCCGAACAAGAGGCGGAACGGTTCGTGTTGCCAGGACAACTATTGTACATTTGGCTAACGTCCACATACGGGGTTCTGGTAGTTTTAGTTTGCGTGGACGAGCTAAGAGTTTCGACTAATTGACGTTTGAAACTTTGTTTACAAAAGCAGATTTGGCTATTTGAAAATTAATTTTTGGTTGGTCTTAAACAACCTAATCCACCATTCACAAATTCTCTTTCATTTGAACAAAGTTGTGCAAGGCAGCAACCTTCTAACTTTGCTCACAATATGTCAAATAGAAGAAATCAAATCATTAGTGACATAGGGTAGAGCGCTACTTCGTCGTAATCGCCCATTTCCGTTCTATCGATCAGAAAAGACCAATAATATCAATGACTTCACCGTGCACAAATCAAAAATAGATTTGTTCCGATGCGTTAGTTCATTAGCTACAACATAAATCCTTTTAGAGCGCATTGTATTAGATTTTAAACAATATCTCAACGATTTGTGACTCTTTATCAAATCTAACGGTACGTATGGAAAGGTGAATAAATTTAGAAGTCATCTTTGACAGAAATATTCCACTTTTAGTAAAAACTCGTTCAGAAAAGAGAACTAAAGTGCCGTTGTGCTTAGTAGGACGGAAATTAGATCAAAACCCCTATAAGTCAGAAATTTGCATTCAATGCGATTTATCTTAAACATAATGAAATTTATGCTACGCATTAAAACAACTTTTAAAGTTTTAAGTTGTATTTCATCAATATTATTATTACGTTTCCATAGATGCCAACATGAAATAACAAACAATGACCGTCTTCAATATTTATTAAAGACAATTGACACCGTCTTCAACCAAAGGTTGCACATACAAACTGAACACTTAACACTAGACAACGGGCAACACACAACACCCAGTAGACCTAGTGATGGATGTGAAAAGTTCCATCGGATGTAAGGAACAAAAGTTATTAATGATTCAAGTCACTGATGTCTTATGATTATGCTCAATCAGCTGTTCAGCAGGCAACATTGGTGTTTATGGCGCGTAGAATAGAGCACAAAAATCATGGTTACTATGTCACATTGCAGAATACAGTGTTGCCCACAGAACAGCTGCTTGATCATGCCATAAGATTATCAATCTCTTAAATAATTAATAAAAATTTAATTTGACATTTAGCTGAAAAACCGATTTTACGCAAAGTTGTAGATTAGAAAACTTTCCGCAAGAATAGTTATGGATATTTTAGAAAAAGCTATATGGAAAATGGGTAGAAGACAATGAACAAAAATTTTGGTTTTCCCATAGTAATTTCCATATAAACTTCGAATAGTTTGTGCCAAGTCAGTTTCTTACCAAATGAGTTTAAATTTTGGAAGGCTAATCAGGACCTGATTTGAAACCGTTTGAGCACTGTGGAGTGAAAATTTCAAATTTTGCATCAGTCTAATACTCACATTTTATTATAAACCGAGGGGGGCGACAAATCTCACACTAGCGAATCAATCTTCGAAAATCCTTCTTTCATTTGTAGCATCTACTTGCATCGCACATCATCTTTTTGCAGGAAATCTTCAGAATCGTCATCAACCTTCTTTCTATCTACTCAGCATGCGCGCAGTTAGCCACAGCATAACACATTTTTTTCTGCATCGTAGATAGAGTCGTCCCCCTCGTTATAAACTACCAATATTGAATCAAATTTCATTTTATGAGCGGAATCTCTGCCGAAAATGGCCGGACGATATGATTAATTG